CACCAGCTGATCAGGGCAGAAAGGGGACAGACCAGCCTCCTGAGAGTGTAGACTGTAGCTTAATTGGGGTGCAAGTGGAACACAAAATAATCTCAAATGCAAAGTCTTGCAGCCAAAAGACATTCTGAAGGCTGTTTTTCAAACTGCCTGAAGTAATTAGAGCTGGAAGAATGGATGTATTCTGTAGTCATTCCCCTTGATTTCATTGCTGGCACTGCTAGTTATGAGCTGTGTAACCATGGGCACGGAAGGCAACTTCCCTCAGTCTCACCAAATCAACAGGGGCATACGGTTTTGCTCGGAGGGTTGTGTGAGGGTTAAATGAACTAGCTGAAGGACTCAATAAAGGGGAGATCACATTACGACTCATTCATTCCCTTACTTGTTCACCAAATAGACATTGGATGCCTACTGTGTGCCAGGCATAGGCTGGATGCCGGGGATAGAATGTTCTAGTACAGACACAGTACCTGCTTTCACGGAGCTTACAGTCTAGCTGGGGAGATAGCTGTTAGTAATACTCGTGCCTTTCTTCACTTAGATCAAGGGTACAGAGAAGGCGGTGGTAAGAGATGCAGTTGGAAAGACAGGATTTGGGACATCCGAAGAATCGTGTGTCCGCTCGAGGACAGCATCCTAACCCAGCGGGTCATCAAGTGACCAAACGTTTCGGGAGGGAAGTGACAGGAAGCTGCCGTTTTGGCGGTCGGACTGGGGGCTGGAAGGGGGAGACAGGAGGAAGCAAGGTCAGTTAACCACCGGTTTTGCAACAGTCTTTGGTGAGAACAACGAAGATCTGAACTAGTGCTTTGCCAGTGAGGATGGGCAGAAGGGCACCAGGGGATGGAAGTATCATGACTATCTCCCAAGGTCTCCACCGGTTTCCTCCTCCCCCAGAATCCCCCAAGTTCCAGAAACTTCAGAGGCCAACAGAATTCACGATAACTCTCTTCCCTCAAGGCACAAGGACGGTCTCTTCCTCTTTCTGGGCCCTAGCTTTTGTATTGGACTTCCCTTGGGTCCCCGTCGGTGCTTTCATGACCCTGAGCTGCCCCCTGGTGGAGTCTGGGAGTTTACCACAGCGCCCAACCCTTCCTGTGGTTCCCTCCACCAGCCACTTGGGGGGTCCAGCTGAACCAGGATGGCACTTTACTTTTCAAATACAGGAGCTCTGTGCCTGGGACATAGGAAGCTCAGGAAAGATCAAAAGATAAGATCGGGGTGGTGTTTTAAGGACGGTCGCTTGAATGGGATTAAGGAAGAACTCAGCGGTACCGGGTGTCTCTTGAAGGCAAACTGTCTACTTGTCCCTTCCTCCTTTCTGATGAGGACTCTCAGTGAAGATTTTGCAGAGCCCACACAAGGGGGACTTTATTTGGTGTCCTATGGGAATGTGGGCCCAGCGTTGTCAAAGCTTTAAATGTTTTAAGAGAAGTTGGGAAGCCAGATGAATGCATGAAATGTGCCAGGATTTTTAATGTTGTAATTTAAAATCTTAAGAAGAAAGAAATTAACTCTATAGCCACCTGCTTTCAAGTTCAGTATGGTGGTCTGTCAGTTACCAAATGCTAGTCCTATAAAGGATGAGTCGTAATCTGTGGCAAATTTGCACCGATTTACGGTGAAATTAGAAGAAAAAAAACCGACAAAGAAGCAGGGTTTTCCATACAGCGAAATCTGTCTCATATAAAAGATGGCTTTTTTTTCCCCTCTTCTGTGACTGTGTCCTTGTATATTTTGTTAAAATAGTTTTGCTCTTACATTTATGCTAAAACGCCTTTTATTTTACTAAATGATGATGTTGCTTCTCACGGATTTACTTGGCAAAATTAAGAGTTGGCGACTCAGCATCGCCTGTTGTGTTTCGTTCTGTTTTGTTCGTTGTTGAGATCTAAGTGGCTGGGCGCCACTGCTAAGATAAAGGCTGAACGCCGTGGGGTAGTATTTGCGCTTCGAAAGGACTTCCCCACCACCTCGAAGAGGATGGGGCAGATGCGTTGGCTGGGGAGAGACTGGAGGGTGGCAGTCACAGGGTGTGACGACGAAATGGAAGTTTGCCTCATTCTTTTGTCTCGTGACTGAGGACACCAAGATGCACGAGGGGGAGAGATTTGTCCACGGCCGCCAGGCGGCTAGTTGCACAATCACGACTATAACCCAGTTTGCTGACAGCAAACGCGTCCTTTCGAATGCTCTGGTCATTTGCATGTCAGCCCCACAGAACCTGGAGACGGTGCTGAGCCCAGCTGGTGACGAGGCCTAGGCACGGATGACCTCAGGGTAGCGGAAGGGGGGTTGTGTGGTTCGGCATTTCTACTGCATTTTGGACCCCTGTATCATGCCCATTTCTTTTGGGGGCACAGAACTTTGCCTCTTATCTGCTATTGAGCTGACTTGCCTCTGGGATGTTTCTTTCGTGAGCGGGGCCTTGGGTTTAAAAGTATCCTACTATTGGGGCTCCTGGGTGGCTC